AATTGTGAGTGAATGAAAATAAACGACGGAAGGAATAAAAAGTAGCACGCAAGCGGAGAAAATAAACGTATCAGGTTAAAAAAATAAGTAGAAAGTAGGCGAGAGTGAAACGAAAAGACGACATTTAACGTCCTAAATAGGTGTAAAGAAACGGACGGATGTGAGCCCGAACACAGAATGAGAGACGGAAAAATAAATAGCGGACAGTCTACAACCGAGACCCGCCACGACCCTTGGCCTAGGACGAGGTATCCTGGCCCAGTCTTGGTACCGAGCCAGCAATGCAACGTTGTCCGCCGATGGACGCGAGCGACCACCTCTCGGACTCCGTCCTGCCTGCACCGGGACGTCTGGGAACAGTTGCGGAGTCGGGGGGAGGAGTTGGTGAATGTAGGATGCCTCGTTCTACCAAGCTCTGTACACGTCTGTGATGACAAACGTGACAAAAGTTTGTTTACCTAGTAAGTTCGTGTTTATCTAGTATAGTCGGTCCAAATACTTCGCATCTGAGAGCACACACAAGAGTCCGAGAGGACTGGGCGCACCGATTCTGCGCCAGTCCCGCGACACTCGACGACGGCGACGCTCGGACCACCGTGTTCGACCTAGCTCACAGTCCACAAACTGTACCACGGACTGCTCGCTCACCCGTGTGTCCATACGTACACCTTCCTTTCTTCTCAAATTTACAACAATAACCCAAACTTGACTAAGTGTGGTTTATTCACATATCTCATGGTTTATGATAAAGGAGTCATTTTGTTGTGTTACTTTGAGAAGGTTCATTTTTTGTCAGTCAGGTCGTTAATCCCTACCCCAATGGCTCAGGCCATGCATTTGCCCGGGGCTCTGACCTTAATAATTTCTGGCAGCCATGGCGATTCGAGGCTGCAATCGCAAGAAAATAGGCCATAGACCCTGTACATTTTGTTACAGTCACACAGTACGAGTGTTTTAATATAACGTCAAAATCACAGCAGGTGAGGCACCAAGAATTGACGTTTTTCTGACGTTTTACGCAGTTACTAATAAAAATCATATAGCTAAGAGAAAGGGCAGACACACGCTCCCCGCCCCGATCAAAGTGTGGTGGCCGACGAGTGCGTCGTTGTGTGTGTGTGTGTGTGTGTGTGTGTGATGCGTGTGTGTGTGTGTGTGTGTGTGTGTGTGGTGTGTGTGTGTGTGTGTGTGGTGTGGTGTGTGTGTGTGTGCGTGGTGCGTGTGCGTGCCGTGTGTGGTTTGTTGTGTGTGTGTGTTGTGTGTTGTGTGTGTGTAGTGTGTCGTGTGTGTGTGTGTGTCTCCTCTACAGCCTCCTTTTCGCGACGCCTTCACACCAATTGAAATTGGGCAGAGCAGCTACACCTGTTAGAGCCAATAGGTTGTCGCGTTATTCTCAAATCGTTACAAGTCCTGCCATTGTCTCGTTAACACAGAATTTCTAAATCGTTTCTCACGTCGGAGTAGCTGCCTACTTTACGTGGCAACCTGACAGAAAGACGATCGAGACATCGGGTCTGGTGCTATTGCAAAGGTGCCAGTCCACAATACATACGATTCGTCGTTCGTGGCCTCATTGATTTATGTACATATGTTTGTACAATTCTAATCTCCATTGACTCAATAAAAAAATCAATTCAAGACGAAATGTCAAGCAGTAGTCTAATAAATTATGCTCAAACCAATTTTGCAACAAAGAAAACTACACTTTATAATACGATAATAACATTATTTTTCGCTTCCTATCAAAACAAAGTGTAAAGAATCAATCCATTTGGAAAAAAAAAAAGAGGTTTTTTGGCTATTCCTCATGGCAATTTTCTTACTGGCCTAGCCTATTAGCCCATAGGCTATTTTCTCATATCGGAAATTTTGGAATTGCTATGGGGAGGGGGATCAGTCGTCTATAAGAAGAAAATCCTTGTAAAATTCATTGCCAATTTACTGACTGATATATCGTGAAATAGGTCAGACATCTGGGGAGTGTTTCGCGAACCTGTATGATGTCCAGTAAGTGGGAAGCGTGGTAAGTATGTCTGTATATCTGATACCGACCCTAGCCTTGGGTAGTTGGAAGACCAACTTTCTTGCTGGTCGTGAGGAGCGTCGGTGTCAGTGGAAATGAAACAACGAAAAGCGTCACCGTAAATTTATTGAAATTACAAGGAAAGAGAGACAAGAGTATTACAGACTAGAGTCAACACATATAGTTTCGGTATGCAGACAGACAAGCGGACCCACGAGACGTCCCACCACTCCTGGGGAGTCCGAAGTAGGGGTCGGGACCTGGAACGCCTCTGGAATGCTGGACCTCCAGATCTAGGGGGCAGGTGGCTGTGTGTCGGCGTGTGTTTGTTACTCTCAAAATTTTTTATTGCGGCTTTCGGACTCTCTGCGACTTGTTGAGACGTTTGTTACTCTGGGACCACACTCACTCTTCTACACACTGACGTGAAACTTCATTGCAACGAGAGACACCACATCCCGTCACCACTATCGCTGAGCTGTGGTACGTCAGGGACACGCGACAGGCCTTCGAGTCATAACCCTCGAACGTCCTCGAGAGGGACGACTGACCGTTAGATAGTCATTCTGTCGGAGACGGGTCACATTTTATTATTTGTGAGGTAGCTGAGAAAAAAGTAAGTGAAACGGTAGATAGATAAAGGTAACACGCTTATTTGTGTGGTCCGTTACTTGTCACAATCAACTGCAGGACGAACAGAGGGTCCCCGGGAGGCTCAGTCCGTCCCCACTCCAGTTGTCCACGCCGAGAGTACCTCAGGTCCAGTTAGTTTCTAAGGTCCACTCTGTGGACGAAAACAACAAATCCTACTCATATCTGCAAAGAATACAACCGATAGGGACCATTATGTGGCTAGTGTTACATCCATACAAGTTCAATTACACCAATAGAAGAAAGCAGTCGCTAGAGACAGACAGGGACGAACCGGGCAGACCGTCCGGTCGACTACTCCCTCTCTCAATGACTTCAGTCCGGCCTCTAGGACGCGGACGACTGAGCCGTCTTTCCGCTCTCCTCTACCTTCAACCGGTACGTTGTTCCATACTTAATTTTGTCGTGATATTTACTCGAAGGAGGGAACTTTACACAAACGTAGCGAGGTCTTCATTGGTTGAAAGGAAAGTGTATAAGGTTGTCGTTTGTCCCTATCTATTTGGTGTTAACCTGTGCAACAAACAACATACGAATCACGTACTAAAAGTAGTCATGACGCAACACCTGACTGGAGCGACAGGAGACAGATCCACACACGATTGTAGTACCTCAGAGCGCCTGCGCGACGACGCTCGAGCCGCGTCCGAGTCAAGTCGTAGACGGAGAAGGCGGGCAGTCCGTCGCCTCGGTCGCCCGGCCCGGCCCCCGGCGCGTCCAGTCACTAGTAATGTTCTTTCGGTCACCTCCCTCAGACTGAGACAAAAGTTCCGTCTGAGAAGACTGCCCGATAATTCACCTCTAGTCAGGCTAGGTAACAGTATTCAAAGTCACAGTTCCTGTCGACGGTCCTACTTAGATCCTTAGGTCTTAGAATAGTCCGTAAAAGTCGAAAATGTTGGTTCTCCCCCTGGGGAAAAATAATAATTTGGTTTCATAATCTTTGCACTTGACACCGTAAAACAAGTGTCTAAGAGTAGGCGGGACGGTAGTTACCGCATAAGGGCCCGGGGGTCGACCCCAGACCAGTACCTGGACGACTTGCTTGTCGCGACGCCTAAAGAGGCCAGGTGGGTCTCAGTGTCTGTTTCGGACCCGTTCGACGTTCCGTGACCTGGTCGAGAGGACTGCTCGAGTTCCTCCATTACTCCCTTTATGTGACTGAGTGCCGAGTGTGAGTTGTGTGACGACTTGTCGACCAAGTGAACCTATTTACCCATGTCATTTTTCTCCACACTTAATTACTTGTACGACACGAAGGTCGTTACTGGTGACAGAACGTGCAAGATTGGTGTCTGTAGAAGAGACATCAACACGGTCCCGGACCACAGCCCGGGGCCTCCGCACCTCTTCTACAGAGGAGTCACGTCTCCTCGGACGACCGTTCTCTCTGAACCAGGTCAGACTAGTTTTGTGTCTCGGTTCGACGACCGACAACAGGACATAGGAAACGGGTCCTAAAGTCAGGGACCTCGAAAACACATAAACATCCTTTCGGTGAGGTACCAAAGACACTTTACGAATTGGACGGGGAGATGTCCTACAATAGCCTGCACGAAACAAACATGACACCCGCGGTGGACCTCATGATGGACAACGTGACATGAGGGTGGATGGGGTTCCCTGAGGGGCTACGGACCTACGGTCAACATAATCCTAGAGCTAGACACAAACCCGAGTCTGCATTCTCCGTTAGAATACATGAATAAGTATACTGTAAAATATTTTCTAAGCGATCGTAACACGTCTGGAATTGGGAAAACGCGTGTCTGGTCGTAAGTCTATGGAGCTTCAGTGAAGACAACAGTCACTCGACAATAGTACATTTAGACGCGTATAAGACTTTTTTCTCCAAAATATTACAACGCATTGTAACGGAGTTTTCTTTTAGTGAAAACACCTGTGAATTTTCCGAGTAAGCGTTCCCAGGTTCTCTCGAGAACACTTATACCCACACAAATTATATAATCTGGATTCCGTATAAGATTTAAACTAGGTCTCATACTTATTTTACATAAATTTATAACATATACCCACCGATTATACGGACACTTATTTCAGTTTAATCCATTTCTTGGTATGGGTGTAGCCTACCCCAGCCATACCCTGGCGCTGCCACTGATGGGATGTATGGGGCGGGCCATTCTGCGCATGCGTTAAATGCATTAAATATTTTAACGCAATTAATTCAAAAAATTAATTACCGCCGTTAACGCGATAATTTTGACAGCATTAGTTATTACCAATGTCATTTTTGGTATACTGCTCATTATTTTGTGAAATATTCTTAAACTGAGTTATACAACGCTTTTTATTTTGGACATACCTGGTCATGTGTGAAATCTCCCACCAGCCTGTTCTGAATGTTGGGGTAGTTGGCGATACGACGCAGGATCTTGGCACTCTGGAAGGAAGCCTCTGGGTTGGAGCTGCTGTGGTACAGATACCTGCGAGGGACAAATATAGACCACCATTAATAATGTGAAGGTCCGATACATGAACACACAAGAACAGACCATCCCAGCAATGGGTATCATTCCACAGTTTGCATTAAAACCTGGGTGCCCATTTTTACCTGCCAATATTGACTATGTGATCGGCCCTTCGTGTTTGAGGGCTGACCCCCTGGAGAAGCTGCTCCAAGGGGGAGACCAGCATGGAGGCCTGGCTCTCCCTGAGGAGGTCCATGAACACCACCTCCTTCTGCAGGGCCAAGTCCAGCAGGCACAGGACGCGCAGCACCGCCGACTCCAAGTGCTTCTTACCTGTCGGGGGAGAGGAGCAGAGCTTGTCAGTACACACAGACACATAAGCAGACTCCCTTTTGTTCTCCAGCAAGTGCATATGTTCTCTCACCAGGGAAGGGTGCATAGGTGTCCAGCTGGCGCACCCCCTCCTCCAGCAGGCTGAGGCAGAGCGTCAGCGTGGGCGAGTCGTTCAACAGGTGGAACATGAGGCTGTGGCCCGGGGGCTTGTGGGCCGCGAGCTGCTCGCCCTGTAGCTCCACTATCTCCTGGACAAAGTCTGAGGGCTGGGGCTCGTAGTCCCGCAGCAGCTTGTGGAACACCTCCAGCACAGCGTCAGCAACCTCCCACTGAGAGACCACAGCAAGGGAGAGACAAGTGAGTATGTGTAGTTCAAAGAGCATACATGCATGCACATGTTAAGAGACTGGGTGAGCTCTTTACCTTCTCAGCTGGATGGCGATATGCTCGGGTGGGGAAGGGGAGGAACACAGAGTCACGCAAGAAGTTCAGGTATGGTTGGAAGCCGGGTGCGCGTAGCCCCGCCCCTAAATTAACAGGCAGGCTGCTCTCCACCAATGTGCTGATCAGGTGACAGAAGCCCCGTGTCAGAGGATACTCCTCACAGCTGGACTCGATCTCATTCAGCTCCACCTGAGAGTCAAACAAAGACAATCAACAATTGTACAACAGTAATGTTCATCTTGTTCAAGGATGAACATTTAATAAAAAGGAAGGTTTTTACTTTGAGAGATTAAAAAGAACTGTAACTTTTATGCAGTAAACTTCTTTTTTTTTTAAATAACCTGCACCATTCAAGTCTAAATTATTTTGCATATTTGGATCTTAAAAATATGCCCAATAGGCATCAGTCAAATGTTGATGCTGAAAAATCATTCCATGTAATGAAGCATCTTATTATATATATTTATTTGTATATCTTATTAGCCATATCCTGAAGTAAAGCGAGACCGAGAATAATCTAAACTTCGCCAAACACAAAAGACTCACCTCAATTCCAGCTGCCTGCCTCTGTCCCGGGGCTCGCACTGTCTGAAGGATCTGTGGTAAGAGAACATGAAGATAGAAAACTGAAAAACTGAAAAACAATGCCTTAACAGAATGAAGCATTTTTGTGAAGTCAAGAGAATAAAAAAGATAGATACTGGTATCACTGAGATAAAATGACTGGCTGACAATACATTTGAAGTTTTGTGTTGGTCTGGTATAATAGCCAAAATATTGCCTCAAAGACTCACTGCTCTATCCCAATATGAAAATTAAACCGTGGCCGTTTCTCAAAGTCGAGTAAAACTGCTGCAGAGCAACTATTTCCAGTATACTACGTCATCGAGTGGCGCCGAAGCACTGTTTAAATGCATGTTAAATGTCCAGCATTCTGCGCCACTCTATGACGTAGTATACTTGAAATAGTTGCTCTGCAGCATGTGTACTCGACATTGAGAAACGGCCCGTGACCTTTCAGAAACTATGTTTAAACTTCATCAACTTAACCCTCCTGTTGTGTTCTGGTCAAATCTGACCGATTCACTACTTTCATCAATCTTAACTTTTTGGTTTTAGATTCGATTGCATTAAGGCTTTATGATATCCTTCACAGTAGACATTTGAACATATAAAATTGCTGATCACCACTTTCATTGAATTTTGGATGATTTAGTAAACTTTGTGAAACCCATGGTGTTCCCGCTCAAAAATGACCACCATAAAGAAAAGGAATTAGTAACCATCCAGATCAGATAAAACACACACACACACACACACACACACACACACACACACACACACACACACACACACACACACGCACACACACACACACACACACACACAAAAAGAACAATTTGACACATTTCCCGCTCTTATGTGCCCATCCCCCCTCATGGATCACACCTGGCGCACCAATACATGTTCAGTGTCTGTTCTTTGTATATTTACTGCAGTTCTTCATGTATACCNTCAAATTTGTAACACCCATGGTGTTCCCGGTCAAAAATGATCGCCATAAAGAAAAGGAATTAGTAACCTTCCGGATCAGATACAACACACGCACGCACGCACGCACGCACGCACGCACGCACGCACACATACACACACACAGAACAATTTGACACATTTCCTGCTCTTACGTGCCCATCCCCCCACATGGATCACACCTGGCACTTCAGTGTCTGTTCTTTGTATATTTACTGCAGTTGTTCATGTATACCAGTAGTCTGATACAATATGTACAGTTTGAAAGGGTGTTAAATGAAATGTGGTGAGGATTAATGGTTTTTGTGTTAATGTAATAGCAGTTAAAACAGGACCGGTCAAATTTGACCGTGAACACCAAAGTAAGGGGGGGGGGGGAACGAAGACAATAGGAGGGTTAAAGGCAGTAGCTTGTCCTCCTCTCTCAGCAGAAATCCCTCCATGTTCAATCAGGGCTTTGTTCATATATCATTTTTAGTCTGATTCAAAGCGCTTTTATTCCAAAAACATGGCAGGAATTGATTTTCTATGGCTGTTGACGGTGTTTGTTGAGTGATACAAAGCGGCATCCAAACCTCTCTAAAACTATCCTGCCAGCAAATTGAGACAATGTTTTTTGTACCCTTGCTTTATCAAATGATCAGATTTCTGAAGAAGTAAATGATCCTGAGAGTGACACAAGGTCATTTGAGAACATGGTGTGTTTTACAGGGTTGATTATACATTTGAATCGTTCTATCTGTCGTCTTATGTCATCAGCGGACAACTTCTGATTATTGCATCAACAACGCTCCTAAACTGTGCTTTTTTTTGTCAAATCATAGCTCCACACGCCCCACTTGTCTGGCGGAGTAACTAGTAATCAAAGCACTTGGGTTTGATGTGTGGGGCGCTGTCTAGTCACAGCCAGCCCATCAGAGTCAAGTGCAGTGGAGTGATTGCCTGCATTGTGTCAGTGATGGAGACAGAAGACGCTGTTTGTCCTTGTGCGGGAGAAAAAACGAAAACAACAGGGACGATAAAAACCTCAGCGGAGCCGCGTGTGTGTTCCAGAAGCCAAGGCCGTGTTTGGGGTGATATGGTTTTAAATGCATGATGCTACGAGCAGAAAGTGTGTGTGCAGCAGTATTTTAAACACCCAGTAGTGTCAGGATGTACCAACACACCCTGAAGTACACATCTACATCTCCACTGTAAAGTTAAACAACCGCGAGTAAGGATTTCGATGTTTCATGTATGGTATACTCTTTTGTAAATACTCCCTTAAATGTTCCCATAGTGGGACAAGTCAAGGATTTTTACTAGTTGCACCTTTTAAAGCCCCCTTTTTATTAAATTAAAATGTTGTCATCAAGTCATATTTAATGGCATTTGATTACCTGATCCAACATTGATTAATATCGATCATGGTCTAAATAAAGCTACTAGCAGTACAGAGAAGCTTTGATGATTAGACACACTAGGGATAAGACTTGAAACGCGTTCACTAGTTTATTAAATAATTATCTCAATGGTGTCAAGGGTGACTCAGTTTAACATCAGAATAGCTCAGAAGTAAGTCCAACAAATGATGTACTACTGTAGTTCACTAGATTAAATAACATTTATTTTACTGTTAAAGCTGCTTCATATTTTTTAACGTGCAGAGTTAAGTTTCCTCTGGTATATCTGTTTGTAATTCATAATAAGGAGTGTCAAGGTGAGGCGCTATTAATAACATGTGTGATATAAAAGCAACAAGAGTTACAATATGTTCCTGTTGGTGTTTAATTGATCGTTAAACTGTTTACACACACACACACACACACACACACACACACACACGCACGCACACACACACACACACACACACACACACACACACACGCACACACACACACACACACACATACACATACATACACATACATACACATACACATACACACACACACCCCCCCCC